CTCCGATTCAGCGTCGCTTCGCGTCGACTCGCATTGATTGGGCTCCATTCGCAGGAGCCGACAGGATGGTTCTCGGAGGCTCCCACGAGCTGCCACCGAACCCGCCGACCTCGACAGGCCCCCCCCCCCGAGCAGCCTCCCAGCTGGGCTCGGCAGCCCGCCCGAGGCGTCGGGAGAGCGGCCTCGACGCCCTGGCGTCGACACCCCGGCGCCGCCCTTCGGGGCGCTCGCGGGGCCTGCCGAGGCCGGCCGAGACAGCCCAGAAGGGGCTGAGTCGGGAGAGCGGCCTCGACGCCCCGGCGTCGACGCCCCGGCGCCGCCCTTCGGGGCGCTCGGGGGGCCTGCCGAGGCCGACCGAGACAGCCCTGGGGGGCTGCCTGCGCGCAAGCCTCAGCCTCGCGCAGAGGGGGGTGGGGGGAGGGGGGAAGGTTTCTTAGAAGCACCCCTGTTTTTTAGAAGGCGCGGGCCTGACCTACAGATGTAAGAGTGGCGCCTTCTAAGAAGCAGCCTCCTTCTAAGAAGCCCTCGCCCCTCCCTCCACCCCCTTGTGCGCGCCGCCAAAAGCCGAAGCCTTGCCGGAGGGAACGCCCACCCAGACACGTCGACTGATGGGATTTGCACGGGCTCGCTCGGCGTCGGCGTACGTCCCGGTCGGTTTCGCCACTCGATGTGCGTTCTGCCGGATGTTTTCGGCTGTGTTGTTGGGCGTCGATGGTTTCCGCCCCGGCGCATTCGGAATGCGGTGCCACGTGCACCCGTGGAGTGCCCCAGCAGTTTTCGCTAAAGGTCGTTTTGCTAATGGGCGGTCTATCGATCCTCGATTGCTGGAGGGGGGATCGGGGGGCAGCGGCTGGGGTCGGGTGCTATCCAAACCCAGGCATGTTCGCGTCGAAGCACAGATCACCTGCCGGGAGGTCTTCGGCAATGCCCTCGCTGCCCCCTGGGACCAAACACGACTCGGGATACAAAATTGCCATGGGGAAAGGACCGAAGTGGGAAGGGTAGCCCCAAGGCCCCAAGCGTGTCCCCAGGATGTCGGGGGAAGCCCATATGGCCTCCAGGGCACCCCTCACGGAGGCCCAGAGGGCCCCAGCCAGCCAGGGGCTCCAAGATGGTGCGAGCAGCTGGGGACACCCTGGGCCAGATACACGTCTGGCAACCCCCGCGAGGGGGGATTAGCTCAGGGGGAACAGAATCGACCTCCATTCGGGAATTCATCGCCAATCGGGGCTCAGGTGCCCTGCGTCGCCCAGGAGCTTGCGGTCTCGCTATCGGCGGCCTCATCCCCTCTCTCTCTCTCTCTCTTTCTTGTTCTCTCTCTCTCTCTCTCTATATATATACATATATGTATCGTCGATGTTTCGGCGATTCCATGTCGATGTTTCCCCGCCTATCTTTCCCAGTTGTGGCGTGGGGATGAGGCTCGAGGTCTGAGGCTCGTAAGGGGGCATTTCTCCGTGACTAGACTTGTCCTGGAGGGCTCTTGCTGTCTGCTACAATTGCTGTCTGCTGCAAATTGGGGCCGGGCCACCGGGTGAGGCCAGGCCCCAAGGATTAGCCTTGCAGGGTCAGAGGGGGGGGGGGTCGAGGCTCGAGGTCTGGAGGTTCGAGGAGGCCATTTCTTTGACGTTGCATGGGGTTCTTGATGTCCGTTGGGAGGTATGAGGGTCGGAGATGCAAGGGGGGGGGCCCTCAGAATGTAAGTTTCGGACACGCAGGCCCGCGGGCGCGCCTTCGGCGCGAGGCCCATCAATCGGACGTTGAAGCTTAGCTGTTTTGCTTCCTGGCGCGTTCAAGTCTTGATGGCGTGCCTCGGACGCGAGTGCGCGTGGGGTCCCAGATGGCCGTTGGGAGGCTCTTCTCGTCGCCACAGCTATATGATCATCGAAATTCTAGCCAGGGCATGCCCCATGGGGAGGTCACCTTACGCTGCCGATGGCAGGCGTTCTCGTTGATTCGATGTCTGAGCACATGGGTTTTTCGTTTCAACATGCCAGTGCGGCTCTTACCGTTTTAGCGGGTGCTCGCGCAGTGAGAGGATTTCGATGCGCTGGCTTCGGATGACAGGTCTCAAGACGGGACAGCATGTTGCAGCATCCGTGTTGGATTATCGGGTTTGCGTTGATCACCCCATGGGCAATCATAAATCAACACGACCAGAAAAGCCTTGCGCTTTGTCGCATCTGGACGTCAGGATGAGCTGGGCCTGCATCCAGCGCTTGCCCCCCTTGCGCCCTCGTCATGAGCCCCTTCGACCCACAGTGGAGGCCAATGCCAAGAAACACCCTCCTCGCCGCCAGGGTGCCCTTTTTTTTGGGGGGGGGTCGATGGCTCTGCCATGGAAAGCGTGATGTTCCAACAGCAAAAGTCAGTGGACGGCCTGTCGTCTCAGGCTTGGGTTTCTTTTGGAAGGTTTCTTGTTGTCGGGCCTCCACTGTACTCAGGAGCTGCAGTGCCAACGAAAATTGGATAGAGCTGCGCTCACAGGCTGCAGCGGGCACGGCTCCGTTCGAGACCCGTCTCAGTGCGCGCCGCGGCGTCACGCCGGCGGTGCCTTTTGCAGCACTTTCGGCACACGTGCCTCGGAGGTCAGCAGCAGTCTAAACGTGTTTCAAAATGCCATGCTCAATGTCGTGTAACCAAGCCCCCCCCCTCACCGAGCCATAGCATCTCAGCCATACCATCCTGCCGCCCCAGCCGGGGACAGGCCCCCTCGGAACCCGAAGGGGACAGCCGACCATCCCCCCCATAGCGGGGCAGATCGGCCAGCGAGGCCCAGGCCACGCCAGTGGGGACAGGGCTCGGTCAAACGATGCTCACAAACCCGCCCCCGCCGGACCTTTTCGAATGGCCAGCGTGCTCAGCACGCCTGTAACCTGCGCTCGGGCCGCCCTCCTGGTCGTTGCGGCCGAGCGACGCACAGGCGCGGTTTCGATTGTGCCGACGTTCGCGCGCAAGTTGCCCGCGCAAGGTCGCGCGTGAGCGCCCTCGTGTCCAGCGCAGCATGGCCCGAACCCGTCCAGGTGTTCGCGTACGCCCTGGCCGGGAGTTCGAGGCGGATGCAGCAAGGGAGGCGACCTCGCCCCCGGGAGGCCCGATCACCCAATCGAAGATTTTCCCATCGAAGGGAAGGGCCACGAGATCCGGCGTGGGGGAACAAATCACAACATATTTGCGAATCACGACCCGGGCCCTCGCCCCCATCCATCTCTCTGTGGCATTCGTCAAGCCGGATCGATCCGTGAGGGACGTGGCCGCGGAGCAGGGCGGAAACGCACGGTACAAACATGACGCCTGGAATCTTCTGACGGAAGGGAGGAGGACCCAGGCATCCGACAGTGCGTTTTTGCTCCCATCCGCGATCCCAGACTTTCCGAAATGGTATTGGTTCATTGTCCGTCCAGGATCCAGGCTTGACGGTCCCCAGGTCGCCCAGAGGCCAGACGGAGCAGCAGAAAAAACAGGATGTAAGAGAACAGACCGCCAGATATACTTCGAGGAAAAAGAGGACCAGAGTGAGCCCAAGATGCATCCCTGATGCAACATACCCTTCCGTCCCAAGTTCCCGTCTCATAAGTCCCTACCAGTATGTCCGTTCACTGTAGGACAGGACATCATCCAATGGATTTGCCATGCAAGTCATAGCCCAGAATTTAAGCAGCTGCCCTAATTACATCCAGTGAGTCGTAATGAATACGTGAAGTTATGATCATATAGTTCAGCCAGGTTCCCAGCGAAATCCCCGAGGTGAAAAAGGACCGCTCCCCATCGGTGCAACTGGTATGCACCACACTGCACGTCTGGTCACGAATGTAGTGGAATTTTCAAGCCCCATTCTGAATAGGCACCGCCCTCCATTCGTTCAGCTGCCACGGATGCTCAAGTCCCTGGTCAATTCAATGAAGTCTTCTTGGCGAAAGCCCAAGATTTGAACGGGATTGCCCTCCAGCCCTGAAACAGATGCAAGCTGTTCAGACGAATGTGCGCGGTGTTTAGAAGACATCCGCAGGTTGAACAGGAGCCGCTTTTGTTACTTGAGACTGCTGCGAGTCTCGAAGACGAATGTGGCCGGCCCCAGGGCGAGAGTCCCATGTCGTAATGGTTTCCGTCAACGAAGTTTCTGTCAATTTGTACGCGGGGTTCTGCACGAACGAGATGGGCACGGAAAGAATGGGTACAATGCCCAACAGCAGTTCCTGTTCATTTTGGACAGGACTCGCTGTCCGCGCCGCCGCGGCCTGTGTCCATGTGAGAGGCAGAAGGCCGCCTGCCCAACAGCGGCCGCTGTTGGTTTGGGATAACATTTGTCGTTGGGCATTGCACCCATTCTTTCGGTACCCATTTCGGGTGTCCAAAGGGGTGTGCGCCGCGCTCCGGGGGACAGCCTCGTGTCCCCCGTCCATCCTCGAAGCTGTTGCACATGTCTCAATCGAGTGTGCCTGTCGGGGTCCACATGCGAACCCTACCCCTACCCCCCACGATTTCTGAGGGGGGAGGGTGGGGTTCGCATGTGGCCCCCTAGCCTGGCGCTCAGGCGATAGCTTCATTTTCAAAACGACCCGGTCTGCCGAAGTGCCAGGCTCGCCCTGTCCACGCGTCTGGGGGCGCGACAGGGGGGGGGGGAGTTTGCTATAAGGAGGAGGGGCGGAGGAGGAGGAGGGGCAGCCGGGCTGCGGGAGGGCCCGGCGGAGTCGCCAGGGCCGCTATGTCCGCGGGGGGCGGGAACCAGGCGGAGAACAGGAAGGAGGGCGGAGGGAGGATGCAGGGAGGAGGAGGGAGGAGGAGGAGGAGGAGGGAGGAAGGGGAGGAGGCAGGAGCATGAGAAGGGGTCCCGACCCATCCCCCAGGGGCTTTTTTTTTCGTCTGGGTCCCCGGGGCCGATTGGCGCAAATCATACCGTCTGAGACCTGGGGAGGAGGGAGGATGTAGGAGGAGGGAGAGGATGAGGATTTTTTTTTGCTGTGGACCGCTGCCAGTCAAGCTTCCGGAGAGATTGAGGGAGAGGATGAGGAGGGATGCGGAGGAGGAGGGAGGGAGTGAATGAGGAGGAGGAGGAGGAGGAGGAGGCCAGGAGGAGGGAATGGAACGGATCGGATACTTCGCGAAGCGAAGTGACCTTACCCACTTTTGTATTAGGCATTTGGTATCTTCTGAGCTGGGCTCCTGGGAGTCCAGCACCAATTCTAGACGCTTCGCGTATCCCCACCAGTACGTCTCCGTGCATTGGTCGGTGGCTCATGTCCGATCGCGCCCAGGAGTCCATGTGAGTGTGGCTTTCCCGGCTCCCCTTCTTCTGCCCGCGCGTTCCTTGCTCTCTCGCCTCCTCGTCTTGGTGAGCAGTGCGGCCTCAAGTGCCCACTGTGCTGCCACTGAGCTGCTTGGCCCTAGCCAGTGCTCGCTGGACTGTACGGTTCGAGCTGGCGCCACTGTGCGACTTCTCCTCCGTCTGCCTCAGTCTGGTGCTTGCGTCCCCGTTCCTGGGTCGATCGCATCTTAATTGGGGGCGTTTTGCCTCTTGCAGGTGCACTTGTTGCGTCGGACTGTGCGCCGTCGTAACCAATTATCTCGCCGTGTGCCCCAGCCGCGCCCGCCCCGCTTCTTGGACTTTTCCTTGGAGCCGTCTATCAAAAAAAGTATCCCCACCAGTTTCCGTTTCTTGGATCTGTCTTTGGAGCCGCCAATCACAGAGTATCCCCACCAGTAGCCTCTCAGTTTGCAGCGGTTGTCCCATTCTCTGCAGTTCAATTCACACCCGGCAGCCTGCAGCCCCTGGCAGTCAGCAGCCCTTGGCAGTCAGCAGCGCGTTTGCAGCTCGGGGCATGTTTGCAGTCCCTGGCAGCCTGCGGCCCACTGCCCCCCCCCCCTCGGCCCCTCGCTGGTCTCGGTCTGAGTTGCGGCGGTAGGCCCGCTTGCGCGAGGTTTTTAAGACCTCGCGCGGCCCGCTCGGACCTTGACGCGCTGTCGGCGCGCTCGCCTGCGGCTGGCTACACAAAAATATCCCCACCAGTGTCTGGCTTGCGACAGTTGCGCTGTGCCCTCCAGCTTCCGCTCGTAGCACGACCTTTCCGACGCCGCGCGGGTGCCCGTTCGCAGTCGCGACCAAGAAAGTATCCCCACCAACGGTTCCCAGCTTCGGCGGCTGCAGCACCGCTCCGGCGCCGCTGCTCCCCCCGCGGCAGGTCCTGCTTAGCTCCGCGCGCGCCGGCAATTAGGTTCGCTCGTAGCCCGAACCGACTCTACCCGCTGCGGGCGCTTTCGCTTGTGGCCGCGACGGACAACAAATCCCCACCATCCCATCCAGAAGCGGGATCCAGACGGATTGAGGTGATCAGGGAGGTTCGGGGGCAAAGAGGGGGACGGCCTAACCGTGCGACGGCGGGAGGAGGAGAAAGAGGAGGCTGGATGGATGGATGGGGGAGTGGGGAGAAAGGATATGCATAGGATGAGGAGGAGGAGTAGGAGGAGGAGGGGGAGGAGGAGGAGGAGGAGGAGGAGGAGGAGGAAATGAAGGAATAGGAGGAGGAAGGATGAGCATGAGGAGGAGGAGGAGGGCAAGCAAAAGGGCCAAAGGTCTCTTGGATGCCTCTCGGAGCCTCTTGGGGTATCTCTTGGGCGTTTCTTGGGACGTCTTGGGGTTCGCTTGGTGGTCCTTGGGGGACTCTCGGGCGTCTTGGGTGCTTCGGAGGGGCCTCTTGAGACCGGTTGGGTTCCTCTTGCGGGCCTCCAGGGGGCCTCTTGGGGGTCTCCGGGGGCCATCTTGAGGCCACTTTGGTGCCTCGCGGTGCCTCCTGGGCGCTTCTTGGAGCCATCTTGGAAAGGGATCGATCAATGAAGGGGTGCTCCTTGATTAGCCTCCCCCCTGGGGAGCCCCAACAATCACCCCTTGGGCCCCTCTTGGAGCGCTCTTGGGCGCTCTTGGGACCGTCTTGGGGCTCTCTGGGGCATCTCGGGGCCCTCTTGGCGCTGCCTGGAGGCCTCGGAAGGCCATCGGAAGCGAAAAGGCGAGAAGGCACAATTCACTGATGTTCCTAAGGTTTTCGACGGAATTGGGCTTCTTGGCGGCCTCCTGGGGATGCTCCGTGGCCGCTCGGAGCTGCCTTGAAGCGGTCCTGGGTCCTCTTGGAGCATCTTGGGAGCCATCTTGACGCGTCTTGGGATATCTTGGGATATCCTGGGCAATCTTGGAGGTCATCTTGGGCTCTCTGAGGCCCTTTTGGAGCCATGTTGGGCCATCTTGGACGCTCCAGCGGCCCGCGAGTCGCCCCGTCCAGGGCCAGTGGAAGGGGTAAGGGGGAGGGGTCCACCCCTCCCCGAAGGGGAAGAGGAAGAGGAAGAGGAAGAGGAAGAGGAAGAGGAAGAGGGAAGAGGAAGAACAGGTCCAGGGAAGGGGGAAGGGGGAGGGGTAAGTGGAAGAGGAAACGCCCTACACCACCTACGCCCAGAGGGCTGGTGGGATTCCAGAAGCCCTACACATCAGGAGCACTGCCCAACAGGCGAGGAGGGAGGAGAGAGGAGGGAGGAGGGGGAGGAAGAGGCGCACTGGGGGAGCGGATTCCGCCCCCCTCACTTCTGTTGAAAAGCCTCCCGAGCCTGAATGCGACGCAGCCCACAGAAGGCCGATCGGTGCAGTCGTGCCGTCGTTTTGAAGCTCTCGTGGAGCACTGGCTGCCAGCTGCTGCAGGGAGGCTCGACCCTCCGCGGGGCGAAGGAAACGGCAAAACGGTCAGCAGAGTCTGCCCCCCCCCCCTCCAGCCCGAGGTGCGATGCACGAAGCGCGATCCCCTTCGCGCCCCTGGTGGGTGGACCCGGGTTGCCCATTTCGCAGTGGGGGGGGCCCTTGTCGGTTGGCTTGCCTAGCTCGCAAGATCCTCGCACCGCGTGTGGCATCATGGCTGGACCTAAACGGTGTTTTCACGATTCCGTGGGCCGTTTTCGTTTCGTTTCCGTCTTGCGGTAGAGGTGGATTGAAGACAAAGCGAGGGACAACAATGACAACAAAACGAGAACGGAAAACAGCGTTTGGGCTCAGTCCTGTTTCACGAAAACGAAACGAAAACGAAATGACAACGAAAAACACAGTTTATAGGTTCAGCCCTGTTTGACAGTGGGGGGGGCCCGCCCTGGACGGTTGGCCTGCCCTTCTCGCAGGAACCCCTCGCACCGCGCCTGGCAGCGGGGGCCCCCGCGGCCCGGTGCGCTCGGACCCCCCCCCCCGCCGGGCAGCGCGAGGAGCCCGCCGACGCCCTGCGGGACGCCAGGCGCTCCGCCGCCGGCAGCCAGGTCGACCAGAGGCCTCGGTCGGGCGGCTGCCTCCCCCCCTGAAGAACAAGGAGGGGTAGGAGGAGGAGAAGGAGGAGGAGGAGGAGGAGGAGGAGGAGGAGGAGGAGGAGGAGGAGGAGGAGGGGAGGAGGAGGAGGAGGAGGAGGGAGGAGGGGGAGGAGGAGGAGGAGGAGGAGGAGGAGGAGGGAGGAGGAGGGGGAGGAGGAGGAGGAGGGTGAGGGGAGGGGGAGGGAGGAGGAGGGAGGAGGAGGAGGAGGAGGAGGAGGAGGAGGAGGAGGAGGAGGAGGAGGAGGAGGAGGAGGAGGAGGCGGAGAGAGGAGGAGGGAGGAGGAGGAGGAGGAGGAGGAGAGGAGGAGGAGGAGGAGGAGGAGGAGGAGGAGGAGGAGGAGGAGGAAGGAGAAGGAGGAGGAGGAGGAGGGAGGAGGAGGAGGAGAAGGAGGAGGAGGAGGAGGAGGAGGAGGAGGAGGAGGAGGAGGAGGAGGAGGAGGAGGAGGAGGGGGTTATGCAATCTGCTGCATGCAGCTTGTTTCGGCCCCACCGCGGGGCCCATTCCTCGATATACATGGCCGCCTCTGGCGTCGGGAGGCGCCGGGGAAATCAGCTACGTGAGCCGATTTTCAACCCCCCCCTTTGCTATTTCCCCCTTTCGCTCGGCCCGAAAGTTGCATAGCAACACAAATTGTAAGTCGGGTCTGTCCCTCTGCAGGAGGAATCTTCAAAACAATGGTCCGGGGACGATGTGTTTTGCACTGCTGGTTTATTTTTTTTGCGATTTTCTTTGGGCCATGTCGTCGTCCAAAATCCGCCTGTAGGAGGGCATGCCCGACCTGACCTAAACTGTCGGCGGTCGCCGCGGATTTCGTGGACTCGTGCTGGGCCCCCCTGGCGGCGCCTCCGGCGCCGCCCCTGCGCGGATCCAAGAATTGGATTTTGCTAGAAGTACCCCTGGCCCAAGGTGCCCCCAGCTTGTCGCTTCATTTTGGAGCTGGGCCTCGTGAGGGGTGCTTTGGGGGCCGTTTGGGCTACCCTGAGAATCCTGTGGGCACCTTGGCCCAATGGCACTTCCAGCAACACCCGAAAGAATCCTGAGCGGACCTCCAACTGCTTATGTTTTGTGCGTGGTTCCTCTGCCCACGCACATCCCGGCGGGGTGCCTCCACGGGATGGGTGCCCGAGGGCGGGCCTGGCAAAGAGGAGGAGGAGGAGGAGGAGGACGAGGAGGAGGAGGAGGAGGAGGAGGAGGAGGAGGAGGAGGAGGGGAGGAGGAGGAGGAGGAGGAGGAGGAGGACGAGGAGGGGGAGGAGGAGGAGGGTGAGAGGGAGGGAGGAGCGAGGACAGAGGACGGAGGAGGAGAGGAGTGAAGAGGAGGAGGGGAGCGGATGCGTGAGGAGGAGAGAGTAGGAGGGATGGAGGAGGCGAGAGGAGGCGAGTGGTGGTGGTGGTGGTGGTGGTGGTGGTGGTGGTGGTGGTGGTGGTGGTGGTCATTGCATAGGGGAAACAAGTCCCGAGCAGCAACACGTACCACGACCACGATGACACCGACGACGACGACGACGACGACGACGACGGAGACGAGGCGCGCCGACGATCCGCACTGCAGCACGGATTTGGAAAAGGGCCCACCCTGCAGGTTCGGTTAAACAGCACGTCGTTGAGCGGTGCTGCAGCCTCCCCTGAGCACAGGCCCCCCCAGAGCATCAGCCAGACAAGTCGGGTTTGCACCCTCATGCCTTGCTGGACTCTGGACTCGTCCGGGCAAGGAGGAGGGAATGGGAGGAGAAGGAGGAGGAGGAGGAGGAGGAGTTGGAGGAGAAGAGAGGAGAAGAGAGGCGTGGAGAGAGGCGAGAGGAGGAGGAGGATGAGCAGGTGGAGGAGGGGGAGGAGGAGTATTTATGAGGATGAGGGGGAGGAGGAAGTAGGGAGAGAGAGAGAGAGAGAATGAGAGAGAGAGAGAGACGGAGAAGGAGAGAGGAGGGAGGATGGAGGAGGAGTGTGAGGAGTTGGGGGACGAGGAGGAGGGAGAGGGGGAGGAGGAGGATGAGGAGGAGGAGGAGGAGGAGGAGGAGGTGGAGCAGGAGGAGGTGTAGGGATGAGGCTGGAGGGAGGGGGAAGGATATAGGCGGGCAAGAAGAAGGAGGGAGCAGGGAGGAGGGTGGAGGGAAGAGGAGGAGGGAGGAGGGAAGAGGAGGAGGAGGAAGACGAGGAGGAGGAGGAGGCGACAATTTGCCCTAGATTCGGTGCGGTGAATGAAACACTGAACCATCAGCTTTGGGAATGCCCCTGCAATAGAGACATTCCCGATTTAGAAGATGACAGCGAACTATGAACCCAAGCTAAAGTAAGAGCAGACGTATGTCCATGCGTTTGGCTTCAAGGCCCTGTTCCGAATCTTTGGGCCATGACCCCTTGCGGACACTCCTCTGCCAGAAGAAAATACAGTCTCCGAGGGAAAGTGGCCAGAATAGGGACAGCGCAGTAGGGTCGCACCTGATGTAGTCATAGGCGGCGACGGCTCGTGGGGGGAGAACAGTGAGGACACCCAGCTTCGGCGTGTTGATTGGGCCTTCGCCATTTGGCGTGGGGAGACGGTCCTCGTTTCCAGGCGCGGCACACTGTCTGGCTGGAGGCAGACAGTACCCAGGGCCGAGCTGCTAACAGTAAATCGTGCGCTGCAAGCTACAACAGGTGACGGCACATGCATAGTAGATGCGTCCTACGTGGTTAAAGGAGCCAAGAGAGGCTCGCATTTCAGATACAAGAGCAGTGCTGACTTGTGGTCTCAGTACGGCATGCGGTATCGGAGCGCGAAGGCGTACTCACCCTGATGAAGGTCAAGAGCCACTTCGGCAGGACAGCAGTATGCCCGAATTGTCGAGTTCAACATTGGTATGCGAATCAACAGGCTGGCCAGCTAGCGGACACAGCTGCTGAGGAGGCCAAAGTTGCCTACAGTTTGTGTTGGCAGGTCCGAGAGGCAGACAAATTGGCGTGGCGCGTCTAAAAGCGCTCAGTGTCGGTGGCCCTCGAGGTGTCGAAGCATGCCAAGGTTTTTTGTTCTGGACCACTTTAAAAGGAGATTTGCATGCAAGGGCTGTCGCCAAAGCTAAAGCGAGAGACCAGCAGCAGCCAAGTTTATAAGGAGTTCCTCCCATAGGCTGGTTTTGAATCGTAAGGGCTGGCAGTGCAAAGTTTGCCTGCAACAAGTAGGCAAACGTGACCTTCAGGATCTCTCGGCCTCGCAGTGTCTGGGGCGTCCGTTCCAGATATACGTCTCCGAGGACTTTGGTGTTGCCGCTTGTGCGGAGCACAAGGCGTGGAGCGCTTTGTCAAGCTGGCCATGTCTTGTGACTGACGGTTGTCTGAGGACGGCAAGGCTACGCTCAAAGCAATAGACCAAGGTAACCTGCCCAGAGGTCTAGAACTGGTGGCCCGATGACACCTTTCCCCCTTCTCCGCTGGCCGGGTCTACTCCTGGCGCCAGCTCCCCTGCTGGTGCCGCACGATAGCCCCAATCCTTGGCAGAGACTGTACCGCGCGGAGTTGAGGCGACCCAGCAGCCAGAGCCTGTCGTTGAGGCTTCGAGTGTGACCAGGTCCGCTGCTGGATCGCAGACTCCCCCGCCACAGCACTTTAACAGCCGAGTGGCTGAGTTTGAGCAGTATGATGATGAGGAGGAGGAGGAGGAGACTGTTCGTTTCTTGTTTGAGGGAGGGGACCCTTCAATTCCTCAGGGGCCCAGCAGTAGGCAGATCCAGTCGTTCAGTAGGTTGTCGTCATGGAAGACGCTGCTGAGGCCCAGAGTGCAGGATGCCTGGGGTTGGCCCCCGCCGAGGGCAGTGTGACCCCTAGTTGTGTGGGTCGGGCTGCGGCTGCAGAGAACCCCATTCGAATCCGGTGCATGGAGGCCTCGCTAGCAGCCGCGTGTTTTTCAAGCTCGCGGCCAGGAGGCGCTGCGCTAGGCACAGACACATTGGGCCACCAGCCACACGATCCAATCGTCGAGTCGCCAGTCTTTCTGTTAGGAGCTGCTGAGGCCAAGAGTGAAGCAGGCTTGGGGTTCGCCCCCGCCGAGGGCGCTGTGGTCCCTAGCCATGTGGGACGAGGCGGGGCAGCTGCGAACCCCATTCGAAATTCGGTTCATGGAGGCCTCGCGTGGGCCCACCCGTTTTTTTCAGACACAGCCACCCCGATGGGCCAGCAGCAGACCTGGTCCAATCGTCAGTCCGCCAGTCGTTGCGGAAGGAGCTGCGAAGACCCAGGGGTTGGCATTGAGTCATGTAAGAGAACAGCTGCACCTCGAAGAGGAATGGCATCCACTGTCACTCTCACGCGCTCAGGCAGTTGGAAGAGCTTCGGACTCTTCGGACCAGATTCAGGCCGCCTTGGAAAACCTGATCGACGGGTGAGCCTATCCAAGAACGGCGGCCCCAACGAGGGCCGGGATTCCCTGGGGTCAGGGGGCAGTCGCCTCGCCAGAGCCTCCCTTTTTGAAGAGGTGTCGAAGTGAACTTCGGGCGCGCCTCAGGTGTTAGCGCAGGAGGAGGAGGAGGAGAAGGGAGGGAGGAGGAGGAGGAGGAGGGAGGGAGGAGGAGGAGGAGGAGGAGAAGGCAGAGGTTGAGGAGGAAAAGGAGGAGGAGGACGAGGAGGAGGGGGAGGACGAGGAGGAAGAGGAAACGGAGGAGGAGGAGGAGGAGGAGGACAGAAGAGGGGAATGGAGGAGGGCCTGGAGCTGTGGGCCGACTGCGGCCGCCAGGCTCGCGAAGAGGCGCGCCAGGCTGCTGCAGGAGGCCACCGCCGTCGCGGAGCGGACGCTGGAGCTCCGCGAGCGCTTGGCCAGTGCCCGCGACGTCGTCGGCCCTCGGCGGGGGAACGCGTCCCGAGTCGAAGGACGAACCGTTCCATGAGCATGAGCTTTTTTGGAAGGCTGCGCGGATTTCGTGGATGGGCGCCGGGCCAGTGCGGGAGGGGTCCGGCGCCGATCCAGGAACCTTGCGCGGAGCTCTGAGACAAATTATGTCAATGCCGCACTTGTCGCTCGGATGTCCAGGGTTACTGTCGATTCTGTGATTGCGTTGTCATACCTCTCTCTCCCGCTCTCTTGCTCTCGTGCTTTCTTGCTCTCTCTCTGTATTTATATATATATATATATACATTTATAGATCAGAGTGAGGGGGCCGAACGGTCATTCAGTGTCCCTGGGTGCGTGGCTGAAACAGAATTCCGCGATGCGGATTATTGTTGTTGATGTTGTTGTTGTTGTTGTTGTTGCTGTTGCTGTTGTTGTTGTTGGTGTGGTTGTTGTTGTTGTTGTTGGTGGTGTTCGTTGTTCGTTGTTCGTTGTTCGTTGTTTGTTGTTTGTTGTTTGTTTGTTGTTTGTTTGTTGTCTGTTGTTTGTTGTGTGTTGTTTGTTGTTTGTTGTGTGTTTGTTTGTTTGTGTGTTCGTTTGTTTTGCGTCGTCCCCCCCCTGGCCCGCCTCGCGACCCACCCGCGACCCACCCCGCGACCCACCCCGCGACCCACCCCACGACCCACCCGCGACCCACCCCGCGACCCACCCACGATCCACCCGCGACCCACTCCGCGACCCCGCGCCCGCGACTCACTTCACGCCCCGTTACGTGACCCACTTGCGACCGACCCGCGACCCACCCCGCGACCCACCCGCGATCCACCCGCGATCCACCCCGCGCACATTGCAATTTCAAAAATCGGCGCCTGCGGCCGGCGGTTTTTGCATTCGCTCGCGACCCCCGACCCGCGACCCACCCCGCGACCCACCCGTGATCATCCGCGACCACCCCGCGCACGTTGCAATTTCAAATTCGGCGCCTGCGGCGGGCTGTTTTGCGTTTGTTCACGATCCCCGACCCGCGACCCACCCCGCGACCCACCGCGACCACCCAGCGCACGTTGCAATTTCAAATCGGCGCGCAAGGCGGGCTGGTTTGTTTTCGCTAGCCCCCGACCCGCGACCGACCCTGCGACCAACCGCGACCATCTGGAGGAGAAGGAGGAAGAGGGCGGCTGAGGGAGGAGGGAGGGAAGGGGGAGGGGGGACTAGGGCAAGGACGAGGAGGAAGAGGAGCAGAGGGATGATGAGGAGGAGGAGGAGGAGGAGGAAGAGGAGGAGGAGCGCCAGCGACAAAGAAAGTGAGGGCCACGAAATCCGCAACCTCGATGCCCGCAACGCCCGCGCCCGCCCCCTCACTCTTCTCCGCAATTGCGGGGTGCTACGTATACATCGATCAGAGTGAGTGGGCCGAACGCACATTCTTTGTTCCCGGGTGCGTGGCTGAAGTGGGGATCCGCGGGGAGGATTCTGCTTGTTATTGTTGTTGTCGTCGTCCCCCCCCGGACCCGCCCGCGACCTACCCGCGACCCACCCCGCGACCCACCCCACGACCCAACAGAGAGCCACCCGCGACCCGCCCCGCGACACACCCGCGACCCACCCCGCGACCCACCCCGCGACCCACCCCGCGACCAACCCCGCAACCCACCCCGCGACCCAACCCGCGACCCACCCCGCGACCCACCCCGCGACCCACCCCGCGACCCACCCCGCGACCCACCCCGCGACCCACCCCGCGACCCACCCCGCGACCCACCCGCGACCACCCCGCGACCCCCCGCGACCCACCCGCGACCCAACCCGCGACCCACCCGCGACCCACCCGCGGACCCACCCCGCGACCCACCCCCCACCCGCGACCCACCCCGCGACCCCCCCCGCGACCCACCCCGCGACCCAACCCGCGACCCACCCGCGACCCACCCGCGACCCACCCCCGCGACCCACCTTAGACCCAACAGAGAGCCACCCGCGACCCTGCCCGCGGCCCACTTGCGACCCACCCCGCGACCCACCCCGCGATCCACCCACATTGCCTTCACGAAGAAGTCGGCGCCTGCGGCGGGCTCACTGCATAATTTGTGAAAGGTTGGGCGCCTGCGGCGGGCTCCTTCGGAGCCTCGCAGACTGACGACGTCCTCGCCGCCCCCCGCACCCTTGTCCGCAACTGAGGGGTGCTAGGTATACAGGGTTGGGGGCACTGGACCCGCACAGGCGCACTCGGACCCCAGACCCGCCGCCCCCCCCCTCCCCCGCGGCGGGAACGACTCGCGGCATGCTGGCCCCCTTGTCGCTCCATGCAGGGCGGCCCCCTCGGCCCCCTGCTCTTTCTGGGCCTCCCAGCTGGCCCTCGAGAGCGAGCTCGGAGGCCCAGAGCGGTCAGGAGGGTGGTGCCGAGCGGCCCCGCGAGAGTCCGGCCCTGACTGTCCAGGGAGCTATTTTTTCACACTGGAGGCCTACACACAATGGTAAAAAACTAAACGACACATCCTAAAACCAAGACGTGGAACAGCTTTGGGATCGGTTTCTAGGTCCGGTGCTAGTGTTTGCCCTCCTGGAAAAGTAAGGACGAGCGCCCGAGACTCACATCAGACGCCCGAAGACAGCCAAAATAACACCCCCAAGGGGCCATCCAAATTCAAAACATCACTGGCAGTCCGATGGTTTGTGCGTGATTTCTTGGATGCTCGGTTGTTCTGTCTCCCGAGCGTCCGAGACTGCCGAGGAGTCTTCGATAATAGTCGCATCACGAGTTAAAGGAGCCTGCAGACAGTCCCAGAATAATGCCCCATGACTGCCCAGCAGTGCCCCGAGCTGGCAGAAACATTCCAAATCGTGACCCACTCGTCGAGGGAGACCGTGAGGAGCTCCGGCAGTGAAGTGGCCTGAGGAGCTCCCAGAGGCCTCTCAAAGGCGCCCAGGAGGAAGGTTCCGTGCGGCCCCCTAGAGGTTTTCCAAGGAGTAGCCTCTGCAACAAAAAGCGGAGGCGGACTCGGACCCGGAAGGGTGCGCAGGTTCGCAAGAAAAGTCGAGAACCATGAAGAGGAAAAGGAAATGTGAGGGGTGGGCAGGGATCACTCCTTGTAACGACGACGAACACGGCAATAAGGAGCAGTCGCTGCTTTTACGTATTTACCTCTCTCTCGTTCCGCCCGCAGGCCGGAATTGAAGGACCAAATTGCATGGCGCGAAGCGCCAATACCATAGATCTAAATGTACACATTTGCATGCATGTTTGTCTGTCTGTATGTATGCATATGTGTGTATGCACGCAGTCATGCCTGCATGCGTGCATGCATGTATACATATATATATATGTATATGTGTGTGCGTGTGCATGCATGTATGTATGTGTATGTATGTATATATGTATGCATGTATAGATGTATGCGTGTATGTATGTATGTGCGTGAAAACGTACGTGCGTACGCATGTATGTATGTATGTATCTATGTATGTATGTATGTATGTATGTATGTGTGTATGTATGTATGTTTGTATGTGTGTTGTATGTCTGTATGTATATATGTCTGTATGTATGTGTATATGTTTGGATGTATGTATGCCGGTATGTATGCATGTGTGTATGCATGTATGTGTGAATGTATGTATGGGCGAACGTGTATATATGTATGCTTGAATAGGTATGTATGCGTGCGTGCATATATACATGTATGCATGTGTGTATGGTTGTATGTATGTATGTATGTATGTATGTATGTATGTGGGTATACATGCATGCATTCATGTATGCATGCATGGGTATGCTTGTATGGCTGTGTGTATGTATGGATGGATGGATGGATGGATGGATTGATGTATGTATGTTTGTATGTATGCATGCATGTATGTATGGATGGATGGGTTGATGGATGTAGGTGTGTGAGTGTGTGTAAATGTATATGTGCATGTATGTGTGTGTGTGCATGTATGTATGCATGACTGTATTCATGGATTCATGCATGCATGCATGCATGTATGTATCTGGGTATGTAGGTAGGTAGGTAGGTGTGTATGTATGTATATGTGTGTATGCATGTATGCATGTATGTACGTGCTCATGTATGCGTGTATGTATGTATGTATGTATACGCGCACTCAAAATCCACACGCGCGCTTACTCGGGGTCATTCGTCGCCACGGCTAGATTCGCTACAGCATCCTGGTCGGAACGCACCTCGGAGGAGGTCCGGGTTGCAGCAAAGGTGCCTGTGCGAGCGTCTTCCTGCCCCCCCCCCAGGCCTGGTGGGGCCGGCACTCGAGGAGGCGAGCGGGACGATCGAGAAGCTGGAGGCCAGGGAGGTCCAGCCCCTCCAGACACACTTCGAGGGTAGGAGATCGACTGCAGAAATGGTTTGCCCCCAACACTGGAGTTTTCGTCGAATCAGCGAAGACTGCGCAGAGTGGTTGTCGAACCTAGGAAAATCTGCGCAGGTGCTCCTGATTCGTAGAATCCCCGGCTTTTTTCTGGGGGAGGTCGATCAATGATGTAGTCGATCTTTGAGGGACGAAAGAAAACGACCCTACCCTGGGTTACAAGTGCGTGGTCTGTAAACCTCCTGGGAACCCCCAAAGCCTAGAGCTGCCAGGACGCGGCACATCACGCAGGTTTGACCCTGTCAGCCCACAGGAGTTTCAGCGCACAGCGCCTCGTAAACCAGGGTAGGGGCGTTTTTTTATGCCCTTGAGATCTCCTACTCGAAGACGCACTGCAGTCACGCTCGGCAGCCCGGAGGCAGTGCGGCGGGTCCGTCCGGCGTGGTGGCACCTTCGCGGCCCGTCGGGGCCGATCCCCTCCGCGGGTCCGTCTCGGGCTTGGGGGCACGGGAAGACTCCCCACGGGGCGGCATCCACGCGGCAGACGTTCGTCCCTGTGCCGCCGCCGCTGCACGTGTGGCAAGAATGTTTTGCGGGGCCCAGAGGTATACACCACCACCACCTCCCTCATCCCCCCTCCCTCGCCCACGAAGGAGGAGAGGAAGATGAGGGTGGACGAGGGATGGCGGAGTGTAGGTGGTGATGGTGTATATTACTCGGGCCCGCACGCCTGGCATGATTGCTCCTGCGCTTGGCTGAACTGTTCTCCCCTTCCTCCTCCTGCTTCTTCTCCTCCTCCTTCTCGGGGCCCAGCTCCTCGAGCGAGCGCTTCGCGAGGCGTGCGTAGGATCTGCCTCCTCCCTCCTTCCCCGCCCCTCGCACTCGAGAAGGGGGAGGGGGAATCCCTCGAGCACCCCCAACAGACGCCCGCAAGCGACGACGACGACGACGACGACGACACGATGACGACGAGACGACGACCGACCGACCGATCGACCGACGACCACGACGACGAGCACGACGACCGCGACCACGGCGGTGACGACGACCGACCGACCACTGGGACGACCGACGGCGCCGGCCACGCCTGGCTGGGGCCCACCCAGCTCCTTCGAGTGAGAGCCCGCCCGCCCGCGCCCGCGCCCCTCCCGCCAGAGCCCGCCCGCGGGGCCCTCCCCGCCCGCCCCGCCCTCGTGGGCGCCGGGCCGCCGGGCCCCGTCGCGCGGCTCCGCTCGCGCCGCCCGGCTCCGCCCGCGCCGCCCGCTCCCCGAGAAGGGCCCTCGTCCGCCCGCGGGGGGCCGGCGCGGCCCGCCCGTCGGGGCCTGCGCGCCCGCCCGCATGCAGACCGCGCGCGTGCCGCTCTGGCGTCCGACCTGCCCGTCTATGGGCCTCGCCCGCCCCCCTGTCGGGGGCTTTTCCCCCCCCCACCCCCCCGAGCTCGCCCGTCAGCGCGCGCTTGTTCGGGTCCCGCGCGTGCTATTGAGTGCCGGCTCCAGCGTCGTGGTCGTCGTTGTCGGTCGCCAGCGTCGTCGGCGTCGTCGTCGTCATCGTCATCGCCGTCGTCGCGTTGTCGGTCGGCGTCGTCGTCGCTTGCTGGTGCGAGGGAGGGTGGGGTCCAGACCCCGCCCACTTTGCACAAGCGGGAGGGATCCCCCTGGTTCCGCAGGGGGAGTGATGTGTTGTTTTTGAAGCCCCCCAGATTCGGATGGACCCCTTTGGCATGTTTTTTTCAGCGGAATGTGCATGAAACGAGCTTCATCCCGTCTTTTTCCTCCTCCTCCTCCACATTCCTTTAGGCATGTCATCCCCCTTTCCCTCCTCTTCTTCCGCCTTCTCCCTCTTCTCATCTCGTTTCTCCCCCCTCACCCTGTTCTCATCCTCGTTCGTCCCCCTCCCTTGTCCCTTCACCCTTTTCCTCATCCTCCCTTGTCCGATTATGCTTATCCCTCGTGTTCCTTCTCCTCCTCCTCCTCCTCCTCCTCCTCCTCCTCCTCCTCCTCCTCCCCCCCTCCTCCTTTTCTCATCATCGTTCGTTCGCCTATGTTCTCCCTCCTGACCTCCTTATCCTCCCTTTCTCGCTCCTGCTTCTCCTCATCCTCCTCCTCCTCCTCCTTATCCCTCCTCCTTCTCGTCCTAATGTTCCTCCTTCTATTCCTCCTGGCACCTGTGCCACTGGGTCCCCCTCCTATGAAAACAAACGGGTTGCAGCCCGTTCGTCACCCCAGTTTGCCCGCTGGGGGCCTGGGGGAGAGAACATTGCTCCCTCGTCGCCACGTCTGCGGCACCCTGGCGGTGGCCCACCAGGTATGCCGCCTGGGCTCGGGCGGTGTCGCACGTCCCCTGCGTGGGCCCATCGGGGGATCCCGCACTCATCCATCCCACGGCCAGGGTGCCCCGCCCTGGCGTGCGTGGGGGTGCGGAGTCGCCCGTGGGGAGTGGCGCCTTTTAGGGTGGCTTGGGGCGGCAAAGTGGTGTCGTTATCTGAGCCCTACGGGGCGGACGCAGTTCGGAAATGTGCGGTGGGTGGCGAGCGAGCTGGCCCTGCGAGCTGGAGTGGGGTTAGTAGTGTTGCCTCTGTGGTGGGCTGAAGACCCCTGTGACTGCACATGGCTTGTGGCTGCAGCCGCTTCTCTTCTTCTCCCCTCCTCCTTGGCTCGTTTCGTGGAGGCCGCTTGTGGGGACCGTGCCTGTGGGTGGCATGGGGCTGTGCCCAATGCGGTGTCGTTTCGTGGAGAACTCGCGCCACCTGCCGCTTGCTTGCGCTCCTCTGTTTGCAGGCCGTGTCAATGTGCACGTGAATCATGTGGTGTTGCTTGCCACAATGCACTGGTTGTGTCCCCGTAGTCCCGTAATAGGCATACTCCTCCCCCCGGCTTTCCACCTTACTTTCTACCTCCTGCTTCAACAATTCCTCCTCTCCTGCCGTCCCCGTCGGCCTTCTCCCCATTCAGTCCACTTGGCTTCCTCATCCTTCCTGTTGGATGTCGGTTCATCTTTCGACGAGGCGCAGCCGCCAAAAACAACCTGGGACCAGGAACCTCCAGGAATATCCAAAATCAGATGACTTCGTCGTACTTATGTGTTTCCTCCCCCTCTGTCCTTCCTCGTCTTCCTCCCTTCTTCATATCCTCCCTCCTCTCCTCAAGCACATGCCACCATACTTGTGTGCAGCGACGGAGACCTTCCTGGAATTGCAAATCCCATTTGACGACATTGCTGTTGATTTGACATGGTTTCCGTGGAATTCGCGTCATCCTGGCCGTTGGCGCGCGAGAAAGTGAGCCCAACAATTGCGCTTCTTGCACAGTTCGTGGAAAATCATACGGGATCTGGCGCAGATTTCCAAACCGCCGCATTCGCCAAGGAACACTCACGAAATCGGCCGAAGAGTGTTTCTTGCAATTTCCTAGGGGATCTAACGGAATCCGGCGCAGGATTCCGATCCGCGAAAAGAGTTCCAGGGACATATACACACATCTATATATAAATAAATATATATATATATATATATATATATTCATATATGTTTACACATAAATGTGAGTGTAAGTATACACAGACAATCCCGATCAACTGCAAAGCAGGCGCCCCAACACATTGAACATCAATGCTCCTCCGCTTTCTCTTCCATCTTCTTTCCTAATCCTCCTGCCTCCTCCGCGTCCCCCGTTTTTTTGTCCTCCCCGCACAGAAGCTAGTCTAGGCTCGTCTCTCCCCCCCACACTCAAAAACCCTACTCGCAAATATCCTTCCTTCCGTGAATTCCTTGCCGGTGGGAAGTCCCACGCTCCTACATGTCCGGCCGATAGCGACCAGATCCGTGTTTTTTCTACACTGTTCGTTTCAAACCGCACAATATCAGTGTGATTCCGTGCCAACATGGACAAAAGTGTCGTCCATGTTGAAAAACATGCGCGTCAGGAGTGGGGCGGGGGCACAAGCCCTTCGCGAAAGGCCGAGATGTTGGCCTCGCCTCGGCGCCGCGCCATATCTCTCCAGAGACCTGAACTTCCGCACGGGCGCGGCGCACAGTTGTTCACACGAACTCCTCGTCGACGCGCGAGGGGACGAAGACGTCGCTCTCCTCTCGGCGCCGCGCAGATTTCGCTGTTCTCGCCCTGGCGCGTCGCATATTTGTCATTCTCCAATGGTGGAGGGCCCGCCCGAGTGGGCGACGTGGTGCCCTCGCCCAATTTCCGTGCGCACTTGTGCCGGAAGTGGTGCTCAAGGCAGGCTCGGCGCACAGCTCCTCTGCAGTTTTCTCTTCACCCGGTCGTCGGGAGACGAGCCGCACGCGGGCGCCTTCCGCTTGCGAGATGGGAGCGCGCTGCAAACCCAACATCAAGTTGTGCCACAGTTAATTCTGATGTTTCGGGAGGGAGGGGGGGAGGAGGCGGGACCCCCTGACTCGATTGGCCCGGCCTAATTACTTGGCCCCTCCTCCTCCTCCTCCTCCTCCTGCTCTTCCTCTTCGTCCTCATTCCCCCCTCCCCCCATCTGGGAAGCCCCCCAGAGGCCCATAGAAAGCTCCCATAGATCCCAGAACCTCGACCCCGGGTCGCCCTTTCCCCCCCCCCTCTCGTTCCTCGAGCCCCCTCGGATGTCCTCGACTCTGCCCCTTCCCTCCCCTCCCGGTGCCCGAGCCTGCGCATCAGCCTCCCTCCCCGTCCGAGCGCCCTCGAACCTCCCCCTCCCCAAGCCTCCTGGAGCCTCTCCTCGAGCCTCCTCGCACCCCCATCGAGCTCCTCGAGCCTCTCGGGCCTCCTCCCCCCCACCTCCCCGGGCGGCCCGAGCCTGGGGGGCACCGCCTGCAGAGGTCCAGCTCCTGGAGAAGTTCCAGGAACTGTGCGCCCCCATCCCCCGGGGCAGCCAGGAGACCCGCAGGGGGTAGCGAGGCTCGCCCCCCCCCCCCCCCCCCCCCCCCCACACACACACACACAAGGGGAAGGAGTAGGCGGAGGAGGAGGAGGTGTGGGGGAGGAGGAGGAGGAGGAGGAGGAGGAGGAGGACGACGATGAGGACGACGAGGAGGAGGCAGAGGAGGGAGGAGGTGGAGGAGGAGGAGGAGGACGGAGCAGAAGAGAGAGAAGGGGTAATCAGGAGGACCATCTGAGAAGTTCCGGTCAATCAGTGGCGAAGCGTCCGGGCTCGCCTGTAGGCCTACCCAAGACTCTTCTAAGAATGTGATTAAACCATTTATGGTTGAGACTGTATTGTTTTAACGCATCGGGCGAATGTTCTAAGAACGTTGTTTTTCTTATGAAAAACGCTTTGGGGTTCAAAGAACATGCCGTGGTAGGACTATAGGGCTGCCGGGACAGTCGGTCCCTGCTCAACCCAGAAGCTTCGGAAGCCGCATTATCCTTGCTCCTCGTCCCCTCTCCTCGTCGTCTCTCTTTTCCTCGTCCTGTCCCTTCCTCTGGTGGGTTGTGGGAGGAGGAGAGAAGGAGGATGAGGAGGAACAGTGCAAACCCAAGACGCGTCAGCGTTAATGCACCAAACCATCTCCCAATGTTATTTCGTCATAGGTTCTTACACGAATCCAGTTTCATTGCGGGGAGCGCCCCATTGGAAGACAACCATGAGAGAATCCCCAGTCATACCAAAACACCACTTCTGGGACCTCAGCATTCGCGAGTCAACATGACGATTACGTCCTGACAGTCCTTAATCGAGCCAGACACAATTCCAGGGACGTCAACGATACCATTCCTTACCCGGCTGCAAACGGTTAAGACGAATATGGGCGCTGCGTGGCGTTGAGGCGAGGGCCACTTTTCGAAACATATCCGCCATCCGTCCTGGAGACGCTTGGATCTTTGTCAAAAGAATGCGCGCGGAGCTAAGGCGAGAGCTACTTCTTGAGAGCCAGCCGTTCTCCATGTCTGAGTTTTTTCTGGAAATTGTTGTCACGATTTTGCGCGGCGCTAAGGCGATATGCACCTGCAGAAAACCAGCCGATCAGTATCCTTAAGGCTGTTTTGCAAACGCTTGATGCGAATGTGCGCCGCGTTGAGGCGAGAACCGCATTTTGAAAACGGCCCGCCATTCTTTTTCGAAACTGCTGTACGTTTCAAGCTTCATGGTAAGAAGAGGTGCGGGAGTCTCGGGTGAGACGCCGGGCCCGCTCTACCGACGCCTCTGGGGGTGCGGCAGGCAAGAGATCTTCAGAAGGCACAGGGATGGAGGAGGAGGAGGAGGAGGAGGAAACACTCAACATATACAAAATAACTTCGATGCTCTGGAACGTATGGTTGATATGGAGGGTTCGGGGCGGCGGCAAGCAAATCAAGGAAACCAAACGCAAACCATGGGGGTCAGTGTCTGATTATCCGAGTTTCTCTGTGGCGGGATTCGGGTTCCAGTGGGGCCTTATGCGCAGCCCTGTACGGTTCTGTTGTTTACTACGCCTTGAGACGTGAAATGATTTGCATTCGCGGCTGCTTGTGCTCATGCTGTCGAGTGATACTGGCACCGATGGTAGCGAAGAGCGATCAAGGCTCTGGCAGCGCGGACGGCAGGAGAGCTTCCACCGACGAGTGGATCCAGATTGCGGAGCCCTCCCTCCGAGAGCGATGGCGGCGCCTGGTGCACGGGGTGCTTCACTTCGCCGGGCTACGACGGCTGTGACACGACACTGGTGAGTACCTCGAGGAGACGAAGCGCAGGAGCATCGCAGACTGGGCGTTGCGACGGAGATCGCGCTGCCAGGGCGTGGTCAACACCGACGGCTTTGGAACAGAGGCTGCAGCAGCTCGATCCAGCGATGCAGCAGGCGTTTGAGAGAACGGCGGCAGCTGAACAGGCTGCAGCGGCTGCGAGGGCGGCAGCCGAGGAGGCCCAGGTGGCGGCAGTCCGCAGGGTAAGGACAGGTCGATCGGCGGTCGATCGACGCGACGGGCCATGGCGCAGCGGCGACACGATTGGCTGGCCGACTGCTGCACATGATGAGCTGGAGCTTCGCTGGCGACATCCAGTCCAGAGCGGAGCTCTGTGAACGAGAAGTGCAGAGGCATGAGCAGCGGCCGACCAATGATGTAGGCCAGAACCTCGGGATCGGAATGTTGCTGAGAGGCGGAGAGAAAGGATCGTTGTAGGATGATTTGCTCAGGAATTCGACAAAGTGCTAGTCGTGGCAAGAATGCGAGAGCGAGATCGTGAACCATCGACGGACGACGGCTTTCGCGGCGGGTGCGATTGGCCTAGCTCCGACGGACGTCGGCGCGCTGAGCGGCGGCAGAGGAAGGGGCGGCAAACGCGCCGCGCGCCTCAATTGCGGCGGTCGCGGACACTGCGGGCGAGACTGCGAGCAATATGGGGGCGCGGCGCATCGGCCGCGTGGATTGCAACCTGGCGGCGCGCCACCCATGGCGGCGGGAAAAGGAAAGCCTGGCCGAGGGGATGGCGCTGGACCAATCGAGCGCCGCAGTTTCGGCGGCGCAGGTTGTGCCGCAGCCCAGCGCCCCAGCAAGAACATGAACTCGCCCGCCGGGGAAGGCCGCTGGGGGAGGCCGGCTACAAGGACGACGGCGGCCAGGACGACGATGTGCCCTAGCCTCCTTACTTGCGGGCCGCCGCAGGATGCCGTGCGCGCTGTTCGACAACGCGCTCGAGGTTCGAGGTGCGCGCATCAGCGCCGGCCCCGCCTGGCAGTCGGCCCTGCAACGGTGGGGGGCCAACTGGTCCTTCCAAGTTGGCGGTTGGCCCCGCAGAGTTTGCCTCGCGCGTTGGCGCTGGCCCCGCCCGTTTGTCGCGCGCTCGGGAGGCGCTTGCTGCGCGGCCACGAAGAAGCGGATCCGCAGCAATGGCGAGAAGGTGGTGCGCGGCAAGGCCCACTGCAGGGGGCCCTTGCTCGCGGCGCTGTCTTGCGCGGCAGAGGCGCACCGAGCCCTGGTGCCCCGAAGCGGGATGGTCGATCAGAATTTGAGGATGGAGTACGACGGCGAGGGCGGCGTCGACACCAACGAGATCATTGCGAAAGGCACAGGTGACGATATTCCCATCCAGAGGAAGCATTAGCTGCGCGCGCTGCCAATGCGTCGCTTTTCCCAGGCAGGGCGATTGCCTGCAAGACCTGGAAGGGGGGGCCCTCTCCGATGGGGGGCGCGGAGGCCGGCGCGGCAGCGGCCGCGGGGCACGAGGCGATCGCGGAGGACCTGGGGCAGCGCGCGGCGGGCGCGCTGGCGGCGGCGCCGGCGAGGGCGCGCGGCCAGCCCGTTCCCGGAGGGCCGATGACTGAGGAGAGGCGGCCACGCTCGCCGCCCCACGAGCCCCGCCGCCCGGGCTGTCCGACGCGCGCCTCGCGGCGAAGGGTCTCGGATAAGCGCGCGCGGGCGGCCCCGGCGGGGGGGGGCCATCGCGGCGGTCGGCGTCATCCGCGGCAAGCTCGCGAAGGGCGGCTAGGCGGGGGGGCGCAGACGCGCTCCTGCGCGAGAGCGACACGAGGCACACGCAGCACTACTGTCGAGCCCTCCCGTCCAAGGGCATCGAAGACACCCGCAGCCAGAAGGCGGCGAGCGCCATGGTCGCTAGAGCTGGTTTCGACAGAGCTGCGCTGAGGAGCGACGGCGAGAACGCCATCGCGGCGCCGGAGCGCCTTGCGAGGCGGTTCCTGTTAGGGCGCGACGCGACGGAGCTGGCCCCCGGGACGTCGAGCTCTGACGACCTGCCGTCGAAGCACCTGGCGGGGCGCGCGGCGCGGGGGCGAAGGCGAAGGCGAGATCGCTGGCGCAGGGGGTCAAGGGGCCCTCTGGCGAGGACGGCTTTGGCGGCGCGGCTCGCGCAGTGGGCGGCGACGGCCGTCGGCGCAGACCGCCGCGGGGTCGATGGTAGGGCGCCTTGGGGGAAGCGCCGCGGCCGACCGCGAAGGAGGTCGGTGGCCGAGGTCGGCGAGAAGGTGTTCTTCCAGCCGGTCGGAGAGAGGGCTGGCGGGCTAGGGGCGAAGTTCAAGCTAGGCAGCTAGGCGCGTCTCCAAGGATCGCGGAGGAGACAAACGACGCGCTCGCGCACGCCCCTGCCGGCGATGTCGCGCGGACCAGAACGCTCCGACGACTGCTTGGCGACCGGCCTGTGGACCGCGAGTTGCCGCGCGGAGCGCGGGGCTTGCAGCGGGGGCGGCAGGGCGCAGAGGTGGGCGCTGGAGGCGTCGCCCCAGCCCAAGCTGCCACTGACAGGACTGCCAGAAGCACGAGGTGCCACTGGCAGGACTGCCAGATGCCGAGGCGCATCTACATCAAGAGAGACGACCTGGATAAGTTCCGGCACGCGCCAGGGCGCCCCGGCTGCGACGCAACCGACGTCAAGATGCGCGCGCGAACCCGCGCGGAGACGCGCCAGCTTCGCACGGAGGCGAGGTCGTCGAAAGACGAGGAGGCAGACCGTCGTGATTCCAGGACGGAGATCACCGCGGCTACGTATCATATGCATCAGGAGGCGGAGCAGCCAGCTGCTGCAGCGGGGGCGACTGCGGGCAGCGGCGCTGAGGGCGCGAGGGGCCAGGTGGAGGCGGGGCCCCCGGGGCGGGGCGGCGGCTGCCCCGTCGGCCCAGCCGCGGCAGGCTCGGGCGCGACAGTCGCCCCGGGTTTGCGCAGGCCTGGCCGCTAGCGCTCTGGAGTGGGCGAAGCACTAGAGGTGGACCAACGAGGCGTTCTTCGAGGTGGAGGTTTCCAACGCGCCGAGGATCTCATGGGCGAGGCGGTTTGCCTGATCGGTGCGGCAGACGATGCGGGGGTCTACAACCTGGGCTGCTCCGGCCAGGGAGCGCGGGCGATCGGCCTTGGATGCGCTGCGCGACGTTCGCTACGGGTGGGGCTTGTTCGACCCAGAGGCGCAGCGCAGGTGCGCCGCGAATGCCGATGAGATGGGTCCCTTACTGCTGGTTGGGTCGCCCCTCGTGCGGGCCGCTTTCCGATGCGGCGAAGCAGATCGAGACCCTCGCGAAGCGCGCGGTGGCCCTTCAAGCTGGAGCGATTGCCAATCTCAGGTCCTGCACCAGCCCCTACAGGGAGCAGATCATTGGGCATCCTGTCGCAGCCGAGTCGCGGAGGTTGGAGGAGGTGATCGAGCTCCTACAGACGGGCTGCGTTGAGTGGTATGGTAACCCGTGCCCCTTCTACCAGCTGCCGGCAGGTCAATGGGGCCGACGGCGAGATCGCCCTGGCCACTAAGCCGGCTGGGCGGCGCAGCAGCTTGAGCGAGAGATCCCACGCGTCGAGGCAGTCGACTGCCCTAGCCGCTCAGTTCCGCACGCGCGCCAGCGCGCAGACGCCCTCTACGGCGGGCCCACGCATGTTGGGCGCTATCCAGCGGCGCTTGCCCACAGGATGCTGCAAGGGCACCGTCGACCTCTACGACGAGGACTTGACTGAGGCGGATTCGCGGGCGCGCTGGACGCGAGGCCGACGCTGGAGGAGCCGGGCACTGAGGGTGCCATCGGCCACCAAGATTTGAAGGTCGAGCATCGCCGGCAGGCACTATCGTTCCAGGCGGAGTTATTCGACGATGTGTCGGGCTCCCCGCGGGCCCTTGCATTGGCCGGGCAAACAGGCGAGGAGGAGACGAATCGCTTGGTCGACGACCTGGACATGTACGAGCTGGTCGACCAGGACTTTGCGCAGGAGCGCACGGGCGGAAAGGTGGCGATCCCGGCACGCTGGGCGGACATCGAAAAAGGGGCCGGGCGAGGCCATGGGACGCCGATCCATGTCGGGGATGGGCTCCATGGCGGCGATATCGGGCACCATGGCGTCGGGGCAGGATCCTGACGGCGTGGTGCTTATGTCCCTCGCAACCTGTAGTGCGCATCCCCGCGTTGATATAACGCGCGAGCTGTTCGCAGGTACCCCATCGTAGCACCCCGCACACGCGGCGGGCAAAATGGTGAGACAACGACGACATCTGTATGGAGTCCGCGATGCGGGCCAGGACTTAGGGTTCGAGGTCGAAGCGGCGTGCGAGGCTGCTGGGGATAAACGAGGCGCCCATCATACCTTCATGTTCTCGTTCGCGGGTCGGGTGCTACACTTCCGACGTCAAGGCGGCGACATTAACCTGAATGGGCCCCGCCGCGAGTGCACGTGGATGCCGCGCCAGGTCGGCCTCGCGTTCATCGCGAAGAAAGCGCCAGGCGCTGGGATAAGATATTTGCTGGCCACCATGAATCGAGCGAGTCGCTGGGCTCCTGCCGGAGATCGTGGGCGCGAGCGAATCGAATGCGAAGTTGGCCGGCGACGCCGAGGAGCGCTGCTACTGCAGGGAGGTCTCGGCGGTCGTCCAGTTGGCGCGGCCCCCCAGCTGAGGAATTCCTGCGAAAGCGGAGACGGGGCAGGAGCTACCGGATACCGAAGCTTGCATTTTCATGAGCGCGGCGATGCGACTGGAATTCTTGCTGCCAAGGAGGCGGCGCGAGTGATGGCTCGCCCGACGGTGCGACGCATCGAGATGCTCAAGAGATGCCTTCGCTATTTGATCCTCGCGCAGACCTTTGCGAATTTGCGGGGTGCCATCGTGACGTTGAGCGACGCGGTCTGGAGATCGACTTCGGAGGCTGTCGTAACGCTCAGCGAGCATATTTGGGACAGCTTTTCGAGCGCGCAGGTCCCAGTTAGTTTGGAGCAGTGGCAGGCTGCGGCTTACGACTCATCGGATGCTTCGGGCGGGCCTCGGGCATGATATTCCTGGCGATCGACCTGGGCTTTGGCGCCGACTGGATTGCGAGGCTGGCGGTCGGGACCGACTCGAGTGCCGCTAATGGCACCTGCCGCAGACGAGGGAGCGGCAATATCATGCATCTTGAAACAGGGCGCCTATGGATCCAATCGGCGAATCTTTCGAATAATATCAACGAGTTAAAGAAGGTGCCAAACAAGCCCAGGTCGCCAGACATGCTAACCGAAGGCATAGACAAGGTTACGCATGAGCGACACATCAAGGCTACTTCGTTCGAGGTGCGACACACGCGAGCTGGTGAGATCCCGAGGTCGGTGACAGTGCAACGGGCCTGGGGCCCAATGGTGGTGGAAGGACCGCGGAAGTGGAATGAGGCATGCGAGGAGGTTCTGTTCACCTTTAGCCATAGCGCGGTCCTGGACCTGGATTGCGAGGCTGACGCCACCCCGTCGTGCACAGTGGTGAATCACCACGCCTCGCTGTCTGCAGGTGCTTTTGCCGCGCGAACTGTTGCTTTGCTTGTCCTTCGAGGCAGTTCGAGGAACAACTTGCGCCGCGAGACGATGGCGCGACAGCTGCGAGAGGTGCACTCCGCACCAAGAGGGCAGGCAAGATCCGGGTCCCTGCGGGGTCTTTTTGTGTTCAGCCCCGTACGTTCTTGTTTTGCATTGCGTATTTGACATGTGCCACTGTCTGCATTTGCGATGGGTGTGCCGAAATGGGCCCAGGGACGCCATGCGGATGCACACGTTGGGGCCATAGGTGGAGCTTCCTGGAGGGTTGGAACCGTGTGAGGGGTGCGCCGCAATGGGCGCGGGGACGCCATGCGGACGCATCCACTGGGCCACAGGTGGCGCCCCCCATGGGGGAAGCAAGCGTTTGAG